CCGAGAGAAAACCTGCCTTCTTATAATTTCCAAGCATCAATCCTAAGGCTGCTTCTCCACCATAAAAAGCTTTCTTTTTTTTATTTTAAAAGTAACATATGCTTATAATAAGAACTATTCAAAAGTATAAATAAGAAAATAATAATTACCCAAACCACACCATTTAGAAACAACATATGTTTGCGTCTGGGAAATTTTAGGTTGCTTTTCCATCTTTTGCTTTTATGGATCTTTGGGCCCAGATCCCTTTTCCATAGTTTTGGTTGGGCTGTTTCTTGCCACCATTGCCCAACAGTCCTCAGAGGGCCACCGGCCCCACTTCCAGGGCCCCTCCCACGTGGCTGTGGTGACCAAAGTCATGGCACCTGTTTGCATTACAGCATTGTCCCTGGGCAGGTTGTCTGTCCCTTCCTTGCTTCGAATTTTTGAACAGAGTAAACAACCCCCCAAAACAAAAACAAGACGTATCCCTTCTTTATTTTTAACCCTTAACCTTTTTTGCAGATTCACGGAAAGCTCAATTTTTTTAACATTAGTGTGTCTACATTTGAGCTATGTTATATGCACAAACACACGGTCCCCTCCTTTCTGGCACAATGTGTCTTTTCAATCTAGGGTAAACAGCTCCCTTTGCAGCCTTGCTGATGCGTTCAACTGTCTGCTTGCTCTCCCCTTACTGCCATCATTCACGATGGCACAGGCACAATTTTATATTTCGATGTTTCCCATTTCTCTTAAGCCAGGGATCCACAAACTGGTGAGCTCTCGGACCGTACCTGACCCTCCTGTTTTAGGTCCATGAAGTCTGACGGGAACGCAGACATGCCTCCTTGTTTCCATACTGCCTACTGCTGCTTTGTGCTACAACAGCAGAGATGACTAGTTACGAATGAGACTTTGTAGAGCGAAAAGCTGAAAATGTTCACTATCTGGCCCTTTACGGCAAAAGCTGGCTGCTCTTTCTTAAGCCAAATTCCCCTTTCCACGTTCTGACTAAGGGGTTCTACTTCACTTATCTCCACTTTTTGAAAAACATCCTTCAAGTCTAGAGTCCACGACTATGTCCACCTACCAGCAAAGGAAGTCAGGAACGTATCCAGTTCCCTTCCGAGAAGGACCCATGGTAAGTGGCTGCCTCATGCTGTCCCTACTCTGTTCCACCTGCCTGAAGGCTAATTTGCCGTCTGTATTAAGAAACCACCCTGCACGTCTTGTGCATGTGCTGGCTGCTTGTGGATAAGCTTCTGGCTTTCCTTTTATTCCAACCATGAGCCGCTCCTTCCCACCTGCTTCTACTTTTAGGAGGAGCAAGGCTGGCTCTGCATGGGCGCCAGTGACGGCTTAACCTCAGTACTGCCCAACCCGGGCACTGTGTTTTCTTTTACACCAAGTGGAGCCTTCCACCCAGACCCATGCAGCGGCGAAGCTCTGGACAATTGCAGTGGAAGGCAGTGAGAGCCTGAGACCCACACAGGAGATCTCTGACACTTAGAGCACGTGCCCAGGCATTCAGAGGAAGAACGGCCAATGCAATTCACAATGGACAAGAAACATACACCTTTGCAGAACCCCATTCACACACACAGCAAGATCTACCTAGACCAAGCTTTTCTTCTACTCTAGGACGTGCACAAGGCAGGACGCACAGGTGAGAAGCCGTAATAACATCAGCCAGTGCATCCTGAGTGATGACTTTGTTGCAGGCGCTGTGTTAAACGCTTTGGGGGCTGCACCTCATTTAATCTGCACTATTGTTCCACGAAATTAATCCGTTACTATTAAGGATGAGAAAACTGAAGTTTCAAGAGATTTCACAGCACCGTCACATTGCAACTCCGTCTCTCACGCAGGCACTCGAGGGGCACCCTCTGCAGCCCGGACGTGCTCTCCCAGGCTGGCCCGGCGCACAACAGCCCCGATTAGCGGTCATTTACATTCCACGCTTGTTCGGAACCGCCACACACACGTCCTTACCCACTTGTGCCCTGCAGTTTATCTGTCCTTTGCTCTTTTCTTAGCTCTCTCGATAAAATAAGCCATGCATATATGACAAATGTTAATGGATTCATCTGTCACTGCTTGGAGATAACATCTTTCACTGTTGGCTGATGCCTTCAGCCTCCTGGCAGCCGAGCGGGGCCGGCGGCTTTTGTGGCAAGACCCCGGGAAGGAGGGCGCGGGAGCTTTGCAGGTGTGCAAGGTCCATGCGGAGAGGGGTCGGGGGAACTGAGGGGAGCAAGCTGGAGGCTCCTGGTATGGTTAGTGGCTTCAGGCTGGTTCAAGGAGAGCTTTGCCACTTATGACCATGGGACCTTGGTCATGACACCTATGGGGGTTGAGGAGTCCGGCTCCTGGTGAAAAACCTCTATGTGATTTTTCAAGCCTGGCCATAGGCGGTTTGTAGGGTTTCCCTGGCAGACCCCGCAGGAAAGCTGCCCTCCCCACACCGGGCCTGGTGAGAGCCGTGCGCTGCAGACTCGGAAGGGAGTTGTGGTCCAGGACTGACATCCCTCTGGCGTGCTATGCTTTTCACACACAGTCATCCCTCTGTGTGTGCAGGGGGATTGGTTCCAGGATCCCCTGTGGGTACCACAATCCTGGGACGCTCAAGTCCCTGATACAAAATGGTGATGTCTTTGCTCATAACCTACACACACCCTCCCATATACTTTAAGTTATCTCTACATTACTTATAATACCCAATACAATGCCAATACTATGTAAATAGTTGCCTGTGGGGACACAAGGGTGCAAATTCAAGTTTTGGTTTTTGGAACTTCTTGGAATTTGATGCAACAGTGGGTTGATTTCAGGGATGAGGAACATGTAGATACAGTGGACCGACTGTATCTGCCTTCCTAGCCCTGGTGCCTTCTTTCCTCGGAGTCTTTATCCTGAGGCGGGGTAGATGCCTTCTTCAGGAGCCTCCACCAGGCCTCCTTACGGGCAGGAAATGAGGGAGAAACTTGAAGACCCTATTCTCAACCCAGACCAAGAACCTGGGACTTCTCTACTCCCAGCCTTTTCCCCTCCCTCCCCTGCCAACCACAGGTGAGAATTCATAATAAGGGCCCCTCAGTGGTGACATGACCCCTCACCTGCTCTGACCTACCCCACCCTCACCGTTCCAGGTGGGGAAATGGAACAGAGGAGTCAGCATTTTCTGTTTTCAGAACTTTTGCTTGTACCATCGCAGTAAGCATTTGAAGGCTGAACTCTTTCATTTTTGGCTTGTGTCCTGAATTGACTGCCCGGCCACCTGGCAGCTCAGTGTTCCCCCTCCAGCTCACTAAGCGCCCAACAGACATGCCCCGCGGTCCTCCTGCTGTCCCAGAAGTCCTCCGAGGTCGTGCCTAGAAGGTGTCAGGCACATAATGACTACCTGATGGGAGCTGCCACTGCTTCTTGCTTACTTTTTCCAAGGCTTGATTCTGAGTCTCAGATCCAGACTCTGTGCACGTGTGTGTGTCTCAAACACAGGAAGAAGGTGTGAGACATGACGAGCCTGCAAAACCCCACACAGCAGCCCCTTAGTCTGCGACACTCCCTCTCACCAACCTGACGGCCCCACCTTCCTCTCTGATGCTCACCTTCTCCCCGAGAGTGAAGAAATGCTCCTCCTGCCCTCTCACAGCGGGCTGTGTCTTGGACCCTGGCTGGGGTGTCCTTGGGGTGCACAGAGCCTGGGATCCTCCCCAGGGGAAGGCACCCACTGCAGCTGGCTGTTTACAACCAGGAAGCAGGACCGGAGCCCAAGGAGATGGGGTCGGTTCCATTTTTACGGTGTTTCAGGGGCGCCTTTGACTTGATGTTCTAGAAACTGATTTTCTTATTGTGTGTTAATTAAACTTCTCCGTCGGCTTTGCCATGGTGACTGCCGGTCCGTCACTGGATAAAGGAGTGCCCTCACTAGCCCTCCCCAAGCGCTTCAGGGTGGCAGGGAGGACAGGACATCTGTGATGCTGATCGGACTGGGCCTGCCTGGGCTGGGAGAGACCCGCCCTGACATGAAGGCACACAGCCGGTGACCCAGACAGACGGCATCTCCAGTCCCGGGAAGTTTCCATCCGCAGGGG